ATCAGAAGTTGTCCAAATAATTAAAGGACATTGAGGCTTTTTTATTTTTATTTTTATTTTTTTAATGTTTGGATCACAAGGTGTGTCATATATGATCAATGGTTAAGTGTGACGAATTGGGACAAATTTTCTCGGTTTAACGGTACTAGTTTTACAAATTTATAATATTCAAATCTCACCCCTCAAGTTTAAATTTACCATTTCATAAGAGGTGGATCAAACATGAATTAAAAAGTTACGAACAAACAACAACAACAACAACAAAGCCTTTTCCCACTAAGTGGGGTCGGCTATATGAATCCTAGAACGCCATTGCGCTCGGTTTTGTGTCATGTCTTCCGTTAGATCCAAGTACTCTAAGTCTTTTCTTAGGGTCTCTTCCAAAGTTTTCCTAGGTCTTCCTCTACCCCTTCGGCCCCGAACCTCTGTTCCGTAGTCACATCTTCGAACCGGAGCGTCAGTAGGCCTTCTTTGCACATGTCCAAACCACCGTAACCGATTTTCTCTCATCTTTCCTTCAACTTTGGCTACTCCTACTTTACCTCGGATATCCTCATTCATAATCTTCTCCTTTCTCGTGTGCCCACACATCCCACGAAGCATCCTTATCTCCGCTACACCCATTTTGTGTACGTGTTGATGCTTCACCGCCCAACATTCTGTGCCATACAACATCGCTGACCTTATTGCCGTCCTATAAAATTTTCCCTTGAGCTTCAGTGACCTACGACGATCACACAACACGCCGGATGCACTCTTACACTTCATCCATCCAGCTTGTATTCTATGGTTGAGATCTCCATCTAATTCTCCGTTCTCTTGCAAGATAGATCCTAGGTAGCGAAAACGATCGCTTTTTGTGATCGTCGCTAGATTGCTCCGGTCATTAGTGTGGATAAGTATATAAATGGATAGAGATAGGAAAGTAAACACCAGATGTACGTGGTTCACCCATATTGGCTACGTCCACGAAATAGAGGAGTTCTCATTAATTGTGAAGGGTTTACACAAGTACATAGGTTCAAGCTCTCTTTTAGTGAGTACAAGTGAATGATTTAGTACAAATGACATTAGGAAATATTGTGGGAGAATGATCTCGTAATCACGAAACTTCTAAGTTCCGGAGTGTGGTATCGTCTTGACTTGCCTTATCTGTCTCGTAGGTAGATGTGGCATCTTCTCTGGAAGTACTCTTCCTCCATCCAGGGGTGGTATCTTTAACTGGTGGAGATGCACAAGGTAATGTATCAATTTCACTTGAAGCTTACTTGTAGTTTCGGGCTTGGTCAAGCGCGATACAAACCATGTAGTAGGAGTCCTCCAAGTCGCCGAGCTAGGGGATCTGCTGAAAGAGGTGACAGACAAGGTAAGCAATCAGAGCTCCAAGCAATCAGTCCCAGATCAGAACTTTGATTTCGAGTTCCGGCTGATTGTTCACATTCTCCCTATCTTGCAGGCAGTATGAAGGATAAAGAGAAGAAAAATGAGAAGAGATGATATGGGATACTTTTGCTTTTGAAGAAGTAACTTTCCACAGGCTTATTCTTGAACTGGGCTGGAGGGTTTTCTGGTTTCCTCCAGAGTATAAGGCCGACTGAAGAATTTGAGGGTCAAAACAAGTCCATCAAATCTATAGTACGTTCGACCCTGCTGATATGGGATACTTTTGCTTTTGACAGAGTAGTGGATGTATCGGCACGTGTGCTGTTACGCTTGTCTCCACATGCTTCCTTGTATCCTTCTCACTTGCCCTATATGTTCCTCAGGTAGATGCGGTATCTTCCCTGGAAGCATAAGATGTTGAAGATGAGTACTCGAGAGCAATGCCAGGTAAGTAATAAAGTAAGGGGTTCCAGGCAGTCAGTTCCTGACTGGAAGCTTGATTCCAAGTGCTGACTGATTGCTCTCTTTCTCCTTGTCTTGTAGGTAAGAACAAGGCCAAAGGAAAAGACAGGGAAAAAACATGATATGGGATACTCTTGCTTTTAACCCTGATGATATGAGATATTCTTGCTCTAGTATAGCTTGTTTGCAGAGGTATTATCGGGGGGAAAGAAAGCTGAATATTTCGAAAGGCTTCTTTGGGAGTGCCCTCTCAGATATGAGGAAGGGTTGAGCATTTTTGCAGGTCTGCCTGTCTGTTGGGGATGGAGGTCAACATATATAGGAGTCTCCCTAACAAGAAGTAGTAATGCTATTCCTTTACCCTGCTTGGTCATAACACGATAGTGGGAGCTGCCAGCTTCACATGTTTTAACTTTGTCAGAGCACTTTGAAAAAGTGGTCTATGGTATCTGGAAAGCTGATGTTGCGTGTAAAGATTACAGACAAGCTTTATCCAAGGAGATCCGGCTCTTGAAGTTGGGAAAGTGGTGCCTCTTCGGTTTTCGAACAAGCAATCCAGTCGGAGATCTGGCTCTCGAGATTCGGAGAACGATGCCTTTTCGATTTTTGAGAAAGCCATCCTGCTAGGGGTCTGGCTCTCGAGATTCGGAGAGCGGTGTCTCTTTAATTTTTGAGAAAGTAATCATGTTGGGAGTCTGGCTCTCGAGATTCGGAGGGCGGTGCCTCTTCGATTTTGGAGCAAGCAATCTTGTTGGAGTGTTTTCTCGAATGTGAGAAAAGGTTGGGCATGTTTGCTAGTCTATCTTGCCACGAAGCACAGAGGTTGACACACAGGGACTTTCCAATTATCCAACAGTGGTACTGTTCCTTTACCCTTGTGGGTAATAATATGGTAGCTAGACCTTCAAAATTTATGTGTCTAAACTTTGTTAGTGCTGTTTCTTTGCTATTCTTTTACCCTTCTTGGTCAGAGCGGTGTAGTGGGAGTTGCAAGCTTCACGTGTCTCAACTTTGTCAGAGAACTTTGGCAAAGTTATCTGTGGTACCCATGAGCTAATGTTGCGTGTGAGAAGTGGGTGATTGAACACTAAGATTCATGTGTTTTCTACTTCACCAGAAATCTTCGACATAATGCCCATAATTTCCGCAAAGCTGACAGGTGCTGACAAGGCTGGAAAAGTAGGTGCCTCTTCAATTTCTGAGATCGGCCCTCGTGGTCTCTGAGCAGCCTAGCTTTTGAGAAAGCAAGCGCCTCTTCGATTTCTGAGATCGGCCTTCGTGGTCTTTGAGCAGCCTAACTTTTGAGAAAGCAAACGCCTCGTGGTCTCTGAGCAGCCCAGCTTTTGAGAAAGCAAACGCCTCTTCGATTTCTGAAGCTTCGTCGAGTGCAGATTTTTATAGAGCCTGGCATTAAGTTCCAAAGCACACTTGAATCTCCACCAGTAGAAGCTCCATTCTTGCACTTCTAAGATCTTGATTTGTCCGACCTCTTCACTCTTCAACACCTTTGAAAATGTCTGGCCCCTCCGACCGTCGTTTTGACTTGAACCTTGTTGAAGAGGCAACCACGCCTTCTCTAGATAACATATGGCGCCCATCCTTCGTCTCCCCTACTGGTCCTCTTACTGTTGGGGATTCCGTGATGAAGAATGATATGACCGCTGCGGTAGTGGCCAGGAACCTTCTCACTCCCAAAGATAACAGACTACTTTCCAAACGGTCTGATGAGTTGGCTGTTAAGGATTCTCTGGCTCTCAGTGTTCAGTGTGCAGGTTCTGTGTCTAACATGGCCCAACGCCTATTTGCTCGAACCCGCCAAGTTGAATCATTGGCGGCTGAAGTGATGAGTCTCAAACAGGAGATTAGATGGCTCAAGCATGAGAATAAACAGTTGCACCGGCTCGCACATGACTATGCTACAAACATGAAGAGGAAGCTTGACCAGATGAAGGAATCTGATGGTCAGGTTTTACTTGATCATCAGAGATTTATGGGTTTGTTCCAAAGGCATTTATTGCCTTCGTCTTCTGGGGCTGTACCGCGTAATGAAGCTCCAAATGATCAACCTCTGCTGCCTCCTCATTCTAGGGTTCTGTCGAGTACTGAGGCTCCAAATGATCCCCCTCCAGTGCCTGCTCTTTCTGGGACTCTACCGACTGCTGAGACTTCTCCTAAGCAACCTTTGTGAAGGCTCCCTCTTGTTTGTTTATTTTGACTCATGTATATGTACATATTTGTGACTTATCGGGGATATCAATAAATAGCTTTCCTTCATTTCAACGTATTGTGTTGAATACACCAAAGCCTTCTTCGCTAAGTTCTCTGAATTTTCTTTTGTTGAAGCTTGTATGTTGAAGCTTTGTGAGTGGAGCATGTAGGTTGAGGTAGTATTCCCTTAATTTCCCGAGTGAGGAAAACTTCTCGGTTGGAGACTTGGAAAATCCAAGTCACTGAGTGAGATCGGCTATATGAATCTTTGAACGCAATTGTGCTCGGTCCTGTGTCATGTCCTCCGTTAGATCCAAGTACTCTAAGTCTTTTCTTAGAGTCTCTTCCAAAGTTTTCCTAGGTCTTCCTCTACCCTTTCGGCCCTGAACCTCTGTCCCATAGTCGCATATTCTAATCGGAGCGTCAGTAGGCCTTCTTTACACATGTCCAAACCACCGTAACCGATTTTCTCTCATCTTTCCTTCAATTTCGGTTACTCCTACTTTACCCCGGATATCCTCATTCCTAATCTTATCCTTTCTTGTGTGCCCACACATCCAACGAAGCATCCTCATCTCCGCTACACCCATTTTGTGTACGTGTTGATGCTTCACCGCCCAACATTCTGTGCCATACAGCATCGCCGGCCTTATTGCCGTCCTATATAAAATTTTCCCTTGAGCTTCAGTGGCATACGACGGTCACACAACACGCCAGATGCACTCTTCCACTTCATCCATCCAGCTTGTATTCTAAATCCATCCAAAATAACACACACACACAAACACACCCAAAGAAACAGATAAAAAAGACAATTCATCTAGTTGATTGTATATATTGTAAATTAGATGCATATGGCGCATAATTAAGTGATATTATTTGAAGACACAATATAAAAACATTTATACCAACACACTTAACTTGTTATTTATTTGTCACATAAAATTGACGCTTGATGACACTCTTTATTTTAGATATATGGAATATAATAGTGCAGCCACCTATATTAGCTAGAGCGTGTATCCACATAATTTTATTGATACACTACTAGTAGGAAGGTTTATGTTCAAGGGTAAACTTCAATAAGAGACCTAAAACCGAGTGTATGAGTGATGTTATAGTGAGTGAATCCAGCAGCGAAAAAGATCTTCTCCCATTCTGATTTGCTACGCTCTTTGCCAGGGAGGATGGACATCATCAACATATCGAACATGAGCTGAGTTTCAATTGATTTCTTATCCATCATCTTCTTCTTGTTATCCACATATCCCACAACTATGTCTATGATGATAATCTTCTTATTCCCACCCTCGTTTTTGCTAAGAGATATTGCTTCTCTACACTTCTTCAATATTGTCACGCTTTCTTCATCGTTCCAATCATGCATAATCCACTGAGATACAGATCATTAATTGATTTCATACGTTACTCAATTTGTCACAATATTTCTATAATTAGGGCTCGTTTGGAAGTGTTTTTTAAATGATTGAAAGTGCTGGTGATGAAAGTAATTTTGGATTCCCAAAAATACTTGAAGTGCTTCCTACAAGAAATACTAGTTATGTGTTTTTTTTAACAGTGCTTTTCCATGATACAATTGCATTTTTTTTATAATGATGATTGGTTTCAAAAGCACTCTCAACAAAAACGTTTTTCATCATTTTAAAAACACTTCCAAATGAGCCTTTAATCTATATATATAAGGAGGAGAGGTACACACAACTACATGAACAATGTATGTACGCATATAAATGCATGAGTAAATTGTAGCAATGGTCCCTTAATTTTAACTCAATTAGAGCAATAATTCTTGAACTAAAAATCCATTACTATTGGTCCCTCAACTCATCAAAACGTGCAGCTATGATCTCTCACTAAAAATTCATTACCATTGGTCCCTCAACTTTAATCCAACTGGAGAAATAGTCCATCAACTTTAACCCAATTAGAGTAATGGTTTCTCAACTTTAACCCAATTGTAGCAATGATCCTTCCAACATAACTCATTTTGACAAAATTCTGACGAAGTTGACGAAAAAGACTATAGCTACATGTTTTAATGAGTTGAGGGACCCCAATTGTAGCAATGGTCATTCAAACATAACTTATTTAGACAAAATTCTAACGAAATTGATGAAAAGGACCATAGTTACACATTTTGATAAGTTGAGGGACCAATGGTAATAGATTTTTAGTTGATGGACCATTACTCAAATTTAATTAAAGTTGAGGAACCATTGCTACAATTTACTTTAAATGCACTTACTAGTCGGAGCCTTTTATATTCAATATTCTATTTAAACACACTCACTCTATTTTCTTTAATAGAGGTGGACCCTACCATGTACATGGGACAAACTATGCTCGCTGGAACTTGCAAAGACATGGATGAGATGTTTTTACTAACAAAAGGGTATTAGTTAGGAAATTGAACCAAAAACAAGATAAGATAAACAATTGAGTGATATATATTACGTACCTTAAGCAAAATTGCATCGGCTGGAGGTATTTCCTCAAACATGTCTCCTCCCATAAAACCCAAATTGTGGGTCGTCCCCTGCAAGCCAGCCACCACATGTGGCTGGTCAAACACAGTGCAGTTGATGTTGGGGAATGCATTGGCAATGGCCTTGGCCATTGTTCCTGATCCCCCTCCAACATCCATTAGGGACTTCAAACCCTCAAAAACTCCTCCACACTCTTCCACCACAACCCTTCCGATAAGCTTGGAGTCAGCCTCCATTGCTTCATTAAACAAGTTACCGAACCTTGGTTCCCTAGCTCCCAATTCCCAAAAGGGCATTCCATTTTCCATTTCAAATGGTGTACATGTAGCAGCTGGATCATCACCACCGTTTATCTTCAACCAAGCTCCCATCAAGTGAAATGGGGTTGTCACTACCTGATAGAATAAAAGCCTAGTTAGGATCATTGTTGTAATTAATTGTGAATTAGTTTTTCATACTTTCCTAGAAATTCTATATTCATTGTCATTGAATCCCAGGACTTGTGATGTATACATAAAGAATATTTACCCTATAAATGTTATCTACCAAATTGAATATACACTACATACCGGATCGAGTATCATGAGTAAAAATGGTGTGGTGTTTAATGACCCGTCTTTGAGAAGAAGCCTGGAAGCTGGTGTTAGGCTATACAATACAACTGTTTCTTCTTCCTCCACATCGGCACGATCATGATGAACATGATGATGTTGTGCAAAGAAATTAGAGTGAACGAGGATGCGCATGAGGCGTGAGACAAAATGAGCTTTAGAAGGGTGGACCTTGAGCCCGGCCATGAGCTCGGAAAGAGAGATGGGTTGGCCGTGGTTGTGAATCACGTCTGCGATGCCTAGTTGAACTGCACATTTGAGTGACATGGAGTTTATGAACTGGAATATGTGGTTCCAAAGCTGAGCTTGAGCTCCGAGAAGCTCATGGCTAGTAGCACCCACTTCATTACTCAAACTCATATGTATATGTAAATATGCTGTTTCGTGATTGTTTTAATTGATTCTTCTCTTGCTATACTAATTTTGAATACATGGGGCATGTGGATCGGTTTATATACTTTCTCGCACACTTTAAGCCTGTCATTTGCTTTCTAATTATTCTCACACACTTTGAGCGTGCCAAACATAAGCTATTATATCCAAGATTACCAATTAATTAAAGAAATTGTTATTGGCACTCCAAAAATTATATTTTGCACTTTAAACTCTATAACTAGAAAGAAAAATAAACTTGTGAATAGTGTTGTTTGGACCCAAAATTACATCATCGGCCCGTGCAATCAAGGCCTTTAGGTGGACATATCTCCCAACCGTCAAATTTCACTAATGATAGACTCGATGGGGTTCAACTTGAGGAGGCGTCTGTAATATTTTCACTTGGCCGGTCAAATGGGGATATGCCACGTGAGTTATATCATGCATGGGATGAGTAGGAGATAAGGATGGCATACAATGAATTATTGGAATTGTTTCCCAGAGTCATTATCATGCATGCACGTGGTCAAGTATTTGAAATTTTGAGCCTGGCTAGCACCGATTTAGGTTGTGATAATTATTAGCAAAGGGATTGGCTTATCAAGAGTTAAAATGTGGCGGTGATATCGCGTATTAGCACGGGGAGGAGGTGGTAGAGTTGCAATTGGAGTCCACAAAATTATCAACTGCATACTCATCCCTATAAATACAGGACACCGTGCAACATTTCAGGCCCCCTCCTATTCAACACACAAATTGCCCTACGCAAATCCTCGCTCTACACGAAACCTCTCAACAACCTTGAGATTTTTATTGTCTTTTTCCGCCAACACATCTTTAGTTTGGATAAACAGCATTGTGAAGGCAACCGGTGACATCTTCAGTTTGGATAAACAACACTGTTGCCGTATAATCAGCCAACCGCGGAGCACCTTCAGTTTGGATAAACAGCATTGCATCGAGGTTGACTGGTTATCTATCCAAGTCTCGGTCGAGAAGGATTTTCGAATCTTTATTGGCAAAGGTCATCTCATTAGCATTCTCGACGAAGTGAGGTGTTATATGTTACTATATTTGGCACATTGGAAGCTGAATTTGATATTGAACTTCGTAGAACTAGCAACCTTGTCTTCAGGTTCTAGAACCCGAAGGCCGAGACGTGTTCCTTCCTGGGCCGCAGTCGCAAGATCAAGAAGTTAGCAACGCGCCCAATGCTATGTCAACACATTTTACTCCCTGGCCGACGAGTTGGCACGCCCCGCACACAACCGAAGGACGTAGTTAGCTTATTAATTACTCGGCCTGCGCACCACGTAGGCTTGGTAGTTTCTAGAGTCAACAAGTGTAGAATGAAAATTTTAAAGTGCTAATAACAATTCCCTTAATTAATAACTACATATTAATATCCTAAATCTCCTAAAATATAATAAAGTTTTAAATATCTTAAACCACATCAAACCTGATATAGTTACTCTTGTAACATACATTTTCTTCCTAACTCCACACCATACAATTAACTTGGGGTGGGTGCGGGTTGGGTTGGGTTGGGTCAGCTTTGGGCTAAAATCAAAAGCAAACCGACCTAGTCAGTGGAGCTAAAATTCCAAACCAAAACTGATCAAGTTGGGTCTAAAACCAATCATGTCGGTTAACCAATAATGGCGGGTTGGTTTGGATCAATTTTTGGTTTGTGGATGACGTCGGAGTGGGAGAGAGAGTTGTCACTTGGAGAGATTCACGATCACTAGAAGAAAAATGCTCATCTACCACGGTGAATGTTCATGATAGATTGCAATCCATCACGGACATCGTACCCGTTAGTAATCTGGATGTGATAAAAAGTCTCAGTTTCGACCACGGGCTATGCCCGTTGTCAAATATAATGTAACCACCGACAGTGCCCGTTGTAGATTGGAATTTAACACCACGGGTACTATGGTCGTTGTGGATTATTAATTTACCACAAGTAATGCCCGTTATTAAAAAAAAATCTAAAAATATATATATATATATATATAAACCCACAAAATTGGAAATTTACTATATATACAATTTTTTTCTAAATAATCACATATTAATAAGGAATTACAAATTGTACAAAGCTAACAACACTACCATTGATTTAATTTTATACTATGAAATGTCAAATTACACATGAATCATTAACTAGGCCTCAAATAACAAGGAAAGTCGGTTGAAAGGCTTCACTTTTCCTTGAACACCTTCAAATGTCTTTGAAAGTTAATACTATGAACATGTTGTTAACCTATGAACAATTGAAATTATAAACAACGTAAATCACAAACATTCAGTAGTATTGAAAATCAATAAGCACCGACAACAACAAACATACTCAAAACTAACGAAAAAGCATTACCTGAATTCTCCTATCGGTCAATATATTTGCAATCATTGTACTAAATAAACAATTACTTGAAGTTGGGAATTACCATTTCAACCAAGTTTCTTGAACAAGGGAATCTATCATTATTGCAGAAAAGATTGAAATAAAGCAATAAAATATAGTGTGAGAAAAGACTCGAGTGCACATCAAAATACACATAAAGGAAGAAAACAAAAAAATATATAATGAATAGGCAAAGAACATGGATAAGGCAAATACATTTTCTGAGAAGCCATGAACATGAGTCGCACCATTTATAGCCACCATTTGTGTCTCCATTCATTAAACACCCACAACCAAAACATATAAGAAAACAACTTGAAATTAGGAGTGCCATTTATTTACATCAAAGTAATTTGATGCAATTATAGATAGAGCGGGCAAGAGACAGAGAGACCTTTGTACAAACTATTCTTTATTACACTGGAGCTTTTCCCTTAACATCTCAATCAAAACAAGACATACTCATGCACATACCTAAGAAACAAAGTGGATAATCCCACTGATTTTTTATCACAATGGACATATTTCAAATATATTGGTTACCAAGATTTATTCAAGCTTAAGTTATTTAATGAAATTGAGGGAAACATCTTCAATTTACTAACCATATGATGGCCCCTGAACTAGTTAAGTGGAGAAAATGGAAGCCGCAATCAAACCAACAAAACAACTACAACAGTATTAGAACAAATATAATACAAAATTAAAATACAAGAGCAAAGTTCCAAAATTTGAGTGAGAATATAGAGAATCAAATTCAAAACTCTAACCTAAAAATCCGTCCAAAAATTTGCATACGAATTTCTAAGCCATAAAGTGAGAAGGGCTAGCAAATGCAAACTGCCCTGCAACCCAATCGTCATCCACCATCATTCATAAGAGAGAATAAGCATAGGGGTAGTTTTTGAACAAGAAAAACATTACTGTGACAAGTTATTATCAAAGGCTCGTTAATAAAGGAATATCCAAAAAAAAAAAAATGATACAAATGAAAATCAAACTTACCCAACAAAAAAAAAAAGGAATATTCATCCAAATGTAAACTCTTCCTATTGGTTGGCGAAGCGATAAGATTCGACAGAGCGACGGACAGATCAATGGAGTGACAGCGGAGCAATGGACAGACAGATCAATGGAGTGAGCGGCGGAGGTGAGAAAGAGGGCGAAACCAAGGCCGAATTTATAAGGCTTTTTAACGAAATTGGGGTAAATTGCTACAAAAACAAAGCTTTAGATGGCAGGTTTGAAGAGATTCTGGTGCATAGAGTCCCATCTCCACTAAGTTGGCTTAGAGGAGGAAGAAGGGTTCTTTTGGCATAAGTAGAGGGACGAATGGGGAAACGTGAAGAAGGTTTGAGAGGAAGTATAAACAGGGGTGCTTGTGAGGACATAGGATTAGAGTAGATATGGAAGTCACTGTGAGAGAGAGAAAAATAGAGGACAAAAATTAAGGAACTGAAAAAGGGGAAAGGAAGATAAAGTGGAAGAGATGAGGGCATGGAGAAGGAAGTGGATTTGTCAAATTTCAAAGATGTTTAAAATTTTGTAAAATTTGGTGTCCCGCCTTCTTTATTATTATTTTTAATTATGAATCACTGTACCACACGTTATGACTATACCACAGGTCGGTTTGGTTAACTAATGTTCAAGAATTATAGGAACCGCTTGTCAAACTGACTTTAGTCGGTGCAGTTCAGTTTACTCACCGAAAAATAAAAAACCAACTAAACCAAACCGTCCATGCCGTTTAATTGGTCTGGCGACTTTTTTTTTTAATTGTCGGGCCCTACAAACCAACGTGATATATGTTTCTGCTATCTTCTTTTGCAACCATTAGCAATTTTATAATGCCCCTATTGCTTTCCTCAATTAATCGGTCAGTTGACCCTCTTCCATCCTCCCTTATCGGTCGTATTCATTTCTTTCATATTTTATTTTAGGATAAAATGCAGTTTGACCTCTAAACTATTACCTCAGTTAAATCTGACCCTTTGAACTATATATTTTTTTTGGTAAATTAACCTTCTGCACTACTTAAAATCAGTCAATTAACCCCTTGCCGTTAAATTTTGTCCACCATTCCGTCAAATTCAAGGGCAAATTAGTCATTTCATCATCAATTCTTGTTATTGATAACCACTAATAAAATTATGACAAATAGACACAAAATAATGTGTAAAACATAAAAAAAAAAAAAAACAAAATGTTTACATCACATTGTCATTACACATTATTTTGTGTCCATATGTCATAATTTTATTGGTGGTTATGGTTGACAAGTAAGAATTGCTGATGGAAAGACTAAGTTGCCCTTGAATTTGACGAAATAATTGATGGAATCTACCGACATGGGGGTAATTGGCCAATTTCAAATAGTTTAGGGGGTTAATTTACCAAAAAAAATGGTTCAGGAGACAATTCTAACTGGGATAATAGTTCAAGGGGTCAAATAGCAGTTTAACCATTATTTTATACACACCTTTTGATCAATATCGATACCAAATTAAGGGTGAGCTTTTTGTTTTTGCACATATTTTACCCACCTTTCCATTTTTTTCACATACCATGGTACCTTTGGAAAATAGAATTTAGTGGTACATTTCCTTTTAAATGATAGTTTGTATTTGGTACGTTTTAAGCCGATATATTTATACGTTT